AAGTGTGAGGACTCAGGGTGACCTGCCCTGCTGTCAGGTTTCATTATGGGCCCCTGCAGGATGAGGGAGAAGCTTGGAGAAGAAGGGACATGTGTCAGGCTGGGGATGGGGCCAATCAACCCAGGAAAGGATGTAGACTTGAGTTATTACCTCGTGACCTGAGGCACCACAGTTGCCAAACTTATTTTGTTAAACTATGCAGGCTAACAGTTATGCTCAGAAAAATAGCAAAGCTACCTGTGTAAGGGAGGTGGGGGGGGGGAGTCACTGACATTTACTGAATGATTATTAAATGCTAGCCACTGTTTTAAGCATTTTTCTGTACACGAAAATAAATACTATTAGTTTAACACTGTCTTTAAAAATGAGAAACATAGGGCGCCTGGGTGGCTCCGTCAGTTAAGCATCCAACCCTTGATTTTGGCTTAGGATCGTGAGATTGAGTCCCGCATCAGGCTCTGTGCTGGGCATGGAGCCAGCTTAAGATTCTTTCTCTCCCTCTGTCCCTCCCTCCCAGCTCATTTATGTGTGCACTCTCTTTCTAACAAATAAAAATAAAAAATAAAATAAAAATGAGAAACCAAGACTTTGAGAGGTTAAATTCATGAATAAATTTACCTATAAGTAGCAGGGATAGGATTTGAACCCTGGCAGCCAACACTCCTATCCACTGCACTGTTTAGGTCCTTAGTCTCAGATGACTATGGCCATGGTGGGGGAACTGTGGCTGAGTTGTCAGATTTTCCCATTTTTCAAGGAAGCCAGTTTATCTGAATTTATTAATGAGAAATTTCTGAATTTTTAAATTGTTGGTGATATTTTTTTTAAAAAAATGTTTTTGTAAAACTCATTTCAGGTCAGCAACTGAATGCGGGCTGAATGTGATCAAGGATTACTTCCTTCTTGCCAGTCATTAGGTCATTGCTTAACCTGTGTATATATGGGATAAACCTGGACTAAAGAAGTAGAAATGTAAACAGGAACCCACACTAGTCTCATTCTAGTAAATGCCCATTAAGGAAGCTTTGAAATATTGGATCATCAGAGGGAGTTTGATTGCCCTAGGCTTTGCTAGTTTCACCAGAAACCTAGAGAAAATGTGGATTTCAGATTTGTAATGGAGCAGAGTCTAGAACTGTGAGTTTCAGCCAGAATGCTGTAGTTCTATGGTTCAAAGAGGTTAGTGGGTTACAAGTGAGCTGAGATACTGGTCCTTTCAGCCTTCAGGGGGCTGAGAGTTTCTGTGGTCCAGAAGTCCCTTGGTTGGTCACCTCTGGCCTTAAGTAACTCCTCCTTCCAGTTTACTCCATGTTGCAGACATTATAATTTTTAAAAATGTGTGCCATGAAATTAAAACAATTAGGAAGCACTTCTATGGTCTTTTCTTATGTAATACGGATTGCTCTAGTTTACCATCAAGTGTTTTTCTTCTTGATGAATGGGATCTACATCTTTATATGAATTCTTTAATGCAAATTTTGTTCTCTTCTGTTCATCTGGATAGTAGGATATCCTCCTCCTGATTCTCTCTCTCCCCCACTCATGGATCTTTTTATTAAAAACAAATCATTTTGTTTTTGGTGGCTGGGTGGCTCAGTTGGTTAAGATCCCAGGGTCCTGGGATCGAGCCCCACATCGGGCTCCCTGCTCAGCAGGCAGCTTGCTTCTCCCTCTCTCTCTGCCATTTCCCCTCTTTGTGCTCTCTCTCTCAAATAAAATTTAAAAAATCTTTAAAAATTTTTCATCCATCCATTCATTCATTCATTCAAGTTTTCTTCCTGACTTATAATCTCACATAACAATGTGGTATTATTTAGTATCAAGTCATTCAATAATTACTTGTTATTTGTTTGGAAAGGTGAGAGGGTATGGGGCCTACTGGGGGAATCAACTTGTCTTGGTCTGCCTGGGACATTTTTAGCACTGAAAGTCCCATGGACTCCCTCCTTAGTCTTGGGCTAATCAGGATCATTGGTCACCCTAGGCTTAGCAAACATGTGAAGTTGTTACAGGGTAAAAGACCATTCTTCATATGGACAGCTAGGTATGAGGAAAAGCAGGGGAGAGTTTCACACAAAATGGCCTCAATTTTTTACTAGATAGATGTAAGGTCACCTGCTGGAGAGTAAGGTGAACAGATGGTAGAGGAATTGTCACTCAGTGAACCCTCCCCCATATCCTAAATAACAAACCTCACTTAAGTTGTAGTTACTCAAAACTGGGGGAAATGTAGCTATTATGAAGGGAGGGAAGCACCTAATATGAATCGTTGCCCTCAAAGACCCAGAGGAGGGCAAACACCACCAGGCTGTGAGAGAAGCCAAGGACAGAGCCAGTGAAAAACTCAGTGCATGACTGGGCACAGGTGCATAAGTGTCTGTGCCCTGGGCCTCCATCTGCAAAGTGAAGGGGTGGACCATGCACACCCCTCAAAGTCTCACATGCATTCTAGAATCCTAGCAGTTATTCAAGAATTATAAGGGGAGAGAAACAGTTACACACACATGCACAGACAAATGTTAGAAGTTTCTGGTATGTGAAGCCAAGAGAAGAGGCCAAAAAATTAGGGTTATGACAAGGACGGAGCAAACCCTGGCACAGTAAGAAGCAGATGGTACCCTGGAAGTTTATGAGGAAGGAAGTCGCATTCCCCACATCAGAAACAAACTTCTTACTGTATATCTTTACAATTTAGAAAAAAAATCATACGGAACAATAGCTTGCAGACTGAGAAGGATTGGAAATAATAGTGTTTCATTTGATCCTCACACAATCCTGGGAGGCAGAGAGCAGAGCTTCTACTCTCCCCATTTTATAGATGAGGAAACTGAGTTTCCAAGTAGTTAAGGTCACAAAGCTAAGTCTTGGATTCTGCTCTCATGAATTTCTGTAATGCTTAAAAAGAAGGGGGGTCAGTTGCATCTTATCACTACACAGCCATTTCAGAAGCGGAAACCCTGGACAAGAGTGTTAGGGACCCAAGGGACACACTGTGCCCTTCCCAGGCTGGAGCACAGGATGCGGTTATGAGTGCAATGGTTACCCTGCTCTGGAGAGGGCTACTCTTAGTATCACCAAAGAGACGTCACTGTAGATTTAGGGTAGCCTGATCAGTCTCTATGCTTACCCTCTGCTGGGGCTGTATCCCTGTGGTCACACGTCTAATCAGGTCACTGCTGGAGTCCCTTTTCCTAAATGTCCCAGTGCCACAGCTTTGGTGCTTTGGGAAGGCTGTGGGATTGAAATGATCAGAGTCTATGAGGACTCCTACTTTCCTGCTACGTGCTTTATGTGAAGTCCAACGCAACTGTACTACTTTTGCTGCTGTTTAGGGTTTTTTGTCCATTATAGATTATTATTCCAAAAATAGACTGGTAATATATTCTTGTACATCTGAACTTAATTAAGAACCTTCTTTCTATTGACACATGTGGTTTTACTGCTTCTGGTCAGGCCAGACAAGGGTATCTAAAGACAGATTTCTGAACTGTGGGCCAATTTCTCCAATCTTCTTAACCTAGGGCCCCTGTTCTGAGATGGTGATTTATGACTTTGACATGCTATCTTCAACCACTCTCTGGTCACTAGGGAGTATGTGAAACCTCACAGAAATGCTGCTTCTAGGAGTTAAAGTTGTCCCCTCCAACCTCAACAGGATCCTCCTGGGATTCAGAAGATTACTTAATGTTCTGTATTCTGAGGACTGTCAGAATCACCCTGACCTTACCGAATCATTTCATGACTTGGGAGGGTTGGTGATGGGATTAAATCTTCCACACTGTGGTCCATTTCTGATGTATTTGGCCAATGGAGACTCCAAGGGCATTGTGGACTCCACTTTGTTTCCCAAAAGGACTAACACCAGAAACTCATGTGCTATTTTGTTCTGTAGCTTCTCTGTTGAGCAATACCGCACCCTTGGAGCTGATGCTGCCTAAAGAATGAGAGGTTTGGGGGAACTGACAATTATTATTATTATAAATTTAAGGATTTTATTTATTTATTTGACAGAGAGAGAGCACAAGCGGGAGGAGCAACAGGCAGATGGAGAGGGAGAAGCAGGCTCCCTGCTGAGCAGGAAGCCTGAGGTGGGGCTCAATCCCAGGACCCTGGGATAATGAGCTGAGCCGAAGGCAGACGCCTAACTGACTGAGCCACCCAGGTGCCCCAGAACTGACAGTTATCACCTAGTACACCTCCCACACTTCTGCATGTGTGAAGACCATACTGCCTGCACCTGGGGCAGTAAAAGCCTACATCCTTTAACAGCCTCACAGGTGTTCACCCCAGCTGTTGGCTCAAATCCCAGGGAACACTGCCTCTTTGGTACATGTCATAATCAGGAGATTATGCCTCTCTTCATCTTCTGGGGTTCACACCATTTAGAGTGGAGAGTTTGGGGGGCAGAGGTGATGGGATGACAACATCCACGCATCCATCCATTCATACCTCCATCCAGTTATTAAGGGCCTAGTGTGTGCCATGTGTTACGCTGGATACTGGGCATTCAGTGGTGAACAGAGAAGTCAAGGTCTCAAGGAGGGGTTTCTGTTTCAACAGGAACAGCCCACAGAACTTCATCTGCTTTCGCTTCTGGTGTGTTAGTTACTGCCAAGAGTTTGTAGGTGTTTAGGGGCTTCATCACGTTTGGAAAGCTCTGGCTCCTCTCTGCTCCTTTGGAGACTAGCCCTTAGTTGGCCTTGAATGAGAAGCTGGGTCCTCAAAGTGCCACTGTCAGCACTCTCCGGGTGAGTACTAGGCATGGGGAGGGATCAGGGTGTGGGGCCCTCTGAAGGCTGTGTCATCCCCGGCTCCAGCCACAGAGGTTACATCATGCAGGGAAGCTGAGCTGTCAGCTTGTTGCTAGGCTGTGGCTATTTATTTTTATAAATGAGACTTGTGCTTAATTTAGAAATCTGCTTTTCCTTTTTCTTTCTTTTTTTTCCAGCATCATCTGGCTGTCTGGCACCACCAGAGAAGTGCATTTCTGACCCAACAAGAGCTGGTGGGTGGATGGGGGCAGGAAGGAGGCTGGGGAGAGGACTGATGCCAGCCCGGCTGCCTCACGGGGAAGTAGAAACACGTGGCCATTATGCCATAAGCATCCCGTTGGGCTCCTAGACGGGTTTCACGTGTGACACCTCCACAGTCCTCCCCTGGAACAACACAGTAGAAAGCTGCCCCGATGCTAAGTCCTCTTCTAAACAACCACACACCGGAATACAGCGCAACAGAAGGCAAGGCCACAAAAAAGAGGATTTTAGTCCTTTGGATGCAGCCATTTTAATAGAGCCACTTTATCGCAGTTATTTTGACGTGAGGATATTTAGATTTGACCTAAAACATCAGCCGATAAATGTGCTGATTTTCAAAAATAAGTGAGTAAAATGGGCATTTTACACTCCTTCTGTGAACTTCCCTCCAGCCCCAATCTTCACCCTATTGCCAATCCTGCCTCTGGGCATCAAGGTGTATGGGTCAGGAACAGGTAAGGGGAAAGGGTGGGAGAGATTCAAAATGGGAGAAATACTGAGGATCAGGTACCGGTCAAGAATGCAGTAAATGTCAGGAAGGAGGTGCCTGTCAGAACTGGGAGCAGGTCAGGAGGAAAGGAGGGTCGAGAGGCCTCTAAAATCAATAAAAAGGTCACAGTGACATGGAGCAGAAATAACAGATGGAATGAGGGGTGGGAAATTGCTTATAAATATAAGATACAGTGAGTCCGCGTTTTGGCTCACCTGTTTGGAGGCTGCGTGAGAACAGCTGCGTGAGAAAACAGTCTACTTAGGATTCAGAATCACTCATTTTGGCTTTTCCGTGGGCAGTGTCTGACTCACAAATGTCTACACATTTCCCTTGAGGGCTTGTTTGTGCCTCAGTTTCCACACATAAAATGCAAATGATTATGTCTACCTTCCTCTTTCCCCACCTTTTGCTCTCCCTGCAGGGGACATGCTGAGGATGAGCCAGCAGCTTGTAAACCGCTCCCAGCCACTTGGAGCAAGGTGCTTCTGTGTATGTGAGTGTTCTGTGAGTCACAGATTTGGGAGTTGGGCAAGTGTAGCCGTCTCTGCCCAGTGATTCATGCGCACACACTGATACCTCTAGCTGGAATGTATAGCGTTCGGGATGAATTTGTTCTTGCCACCACAGAGAACTTCATCTGTACCCAAATGCTAATACTTGAGGAGTTTGCACGTGGGCACTGGGATATCGGCCGTGATAAGAGGTGCAAGGAATCTGGCCTTTCTGCTCGTCATCTACAGTTTTAGTATAAAGAACTACAGCAGCATGTCTGTGCCCAATCATCCACTCCCCTCTGCCAGCAAAAAAAATATTTCCAAATACTCCTGCCATTTATCAAACTTGCCAAAGTCCCCCAGAGGCCGTTCCAGTAACTGAAGGCAGAGGGAAGAGAATACTCTCTGCCAGGTTTCACTACCTTCTGTGTTGACTTTTTCTATGACAAGGTGAAGCCTCGCCGATTTGGTCCTGGAACGTCCTTCCAGAACTGGTACTAGGAGGCAGCGGGGGCTGGGGCCTCAGCTTCCAGAAGCCTGACCTGAGGTCACCACGACTGGGCAAGGACCTTCCTCTGAGCCCTCAGAATGGAGGTGAAGGATGCCTGGATCTGCAGCTCGGCTGCCCCAGCCCTACTACCAAGTACGTGGCATCACCAACCCTATTCTAAGAGCCAAGGAGCCATCTCCTTTGGTACAGTTAATCTTTGTTCCTGCTACCAACTCATCTTTCTTTGTTATTTCTCACCATGTCCCTGCCTTCAGATTTCTTATGGATTCCTTTCTCAGGCATCGTGTTTTGATTCCCTCCTCACATTTACTTCCAGTTGCCAAGAACAACTCTGTTCCGGCAGGAAGATATTATTTGGCTTAAAGGAGAGCGAGCAGTGACTTCTCTCCACTAGCATTCTTTGAATTTACGTGGGAATTTATTCTGGGAACTGCTCAGAATCTCCCTCAAGTCTCTCCCTCACCATCAACATGTTTCCATCACAGAGTTGCTTTGCTTACATTGTTTTTAACTGGGTAATGATAAGAGCTTTTCTTTTGAAGCCTGGGTGGAGGGCTCAGCACCCCTCTCCACACTATTACTCCCCAAGGACCTTGGCTGAGCCCACACTGAGTATTACAATGGGTATTGTTACCATTGTTACAGACCTGAGCATTGTCCCCAGTGCTTGCTTGTGAGATAAACCTTGAGTCCTCTTTCAGAATTGTTAGTTTTTCCAACCCTTGGGCATTGAGTTCACCCTTGAGGGCAGTCCGTCCTGAGGGACTGACAAGCATTCTTTGATTTAGCTGGACAGATCGGGTCCAACTGACGCGTGCTTCTCTGGTGACATCCCAGCGCCCTAAATGACACATGCTAATTACCATGGCTGATCCCTAGCCATGTTTTGGGGAAGTTATGTTGCTCCAACCACCACTTTGTATAGTGATTCGGGAATTTGCTGTTTGACACAGAGGCAAATGAAGAGACGGGAGGGTCTGGGCACCACCCAGGCAGCAAGCAGGCCTGCTTGGCCTATCCCCAGAGGATGTTCTGAGAGCCCCTGAAAGTGTCCTGGTCCTGGACTTGGTCCGCCTGGACCCATGGCAAACAATGGCCTAGTTTCCTCTAGACCAAAGGACATTCTGACCTCCCAGGACAGAATGCCACACTCGAAGGTGAGGGAAAGATCTCCTGGAGAGATCAGACAGCAAGACCCCTGCCACAGGGCCTAAAACCAGTGTAATGGGCCAATGCTAAGCAATGAGCATCCCTTCCATTTGAAGGTGCTTCCACATTCATGAATGGTCTCCTTTAAGTCTGCCCACAAATCTTGGGTGTGAATTGGGCAGGTGTTATTACTCAGGTTTTACCAGTGGGGGAACTAAGTTTCAGAAGTTCCCCCAAGACAGTGGCCCAGCTCCTTCCTCCCAGGAGCACCTCATGTGTGGGGGCCTTCAACACAGGTTCCTGCTGAGAGCGGCAAGTATGCATCTCCTGGTTGGGCACTGAACAGGAAGACCGTGGCTCTGGTGGTAATAAATTACAGAGCTCTTCAGGTTGGAAGAATCTCTTCTCCTACACATCCAGGAGGGCCCCGGCATCAGGGCTGCATGGATGAGAAACAGAGAACTGAACTCAATGTCTTTAAAAACAATGCCACGTTGAAGTAAGCTTGGAGGTTCCCCAGTGTTTTATCTTGTTTTGCCAACCACATGGACTTCTGAGCAGGTGCGGCCTCAGCTACTCCTTACCAGCTTTCAGTCCTGATGAGCAGCGCCATAAATGCTCACTTTCATTGAACGTGCCTGGATTGACTTGCTCTGTAAATTCCTCTTCACGCAGCAGCAGGAGAATCTCTGAAGCATGGGAAGGTAGAGCCAGAAGTCCCTAGAATGGGAGCGGGTTCTTGGATGCCACCTTCCCATCAGTTCTCCTGGGTTCCAGCAGACAGCAGATTGGACTTGCAACCAAGCAGACACATGAAAGCAAACGTGCGCTTCTAACATTTCGTAACCTGCCTCCCACAAAACAGAAGGCACTCTTCCCCTTGCATTATTCTCTGCCTTGTTCTTGACATATTTAATGTGCTGAGTCTACAGCCGACTTTGCATTCCCAACACCTCCCACTTGAAATGGCTCCTGGTCCCTCCAGGCCTGAGGATCCCAGTCACGTGCTACACCCCACAGAACACTCTTGGCTCTCTTTCTAGCCAGGCTACACTCCTCACCTTGACATTTAGGGCCGGCTGTTTCTTTTCCTCTTCTGCTCCAAAAAATCAGGGTCAGTCAAGATTCACTATTCCCGGGCAGCGTTTGGAGAAACTAATGTTGGGATAAAGGGGGGTTTTCTGTATGTGATGGGTGAAAGCAAGCATTGCCTTTCTGCTCCTATTCCCTGACTTCGCAACAGTGTGAAACCCTAAGCAGAAAGCCGAGACTTTTCCAGGCCTTTGTCTACACAGAGCTGAGTGTATCTTTGAAGTTCTTCTGCTTAAACCAGACAAAGCCATACTGTCCCTTTCCTGGGTCCTTCCTTGTTGATGGCCCAGGCTGAGTGCCAGGTTCAGCTCATTCACCTCAGGGTGTCTGGCATGGAATAGAGTCATCAACAGCCTGAGGGACACAGAGGCTGGACCAGTTCTGTCCCTCCCCTCCCCCGACTTCACATTCTGGAGTTTGGGTGTAATCCAGCTGAAGAATGAAGGGAAGTCAAGTGTCAGATGCTAAGTAATGCCTAAGGGTACCTATGTAAGGGATGATAAAGTCATCTGAAAGAGAGAAAGGGGAAGGGAAAAGAAAGATAACAAATAGGAGAGAGAAAGAAGGGAAAGGAAGAAAAAGTACAAAGTGGTAGTAATGCAGCAGAGTGGCTGAGTGCCACCTACAAAGCTTGGAGTGGCACAAATGCCATCTGTCACCCATCCCTGTTTCAAAGTGGCATCAGGAGCTGGTGAACACATATGTTTGCTCCAGAGAGGACACACAGCTCAGATTTTAGAACCATGTTGCCTCCCATGGTCCCCTGGAGTGGGAATGAGCAAAGCCCTACTTACTTAACCATGAGTGGTCTTGACCAAAGGATGGTAAAATGCTTTGTAAAAAATATAAATCACTTGTGTAAATATAAGATGGTATTTTTTTCTCCTACTCACCCCAAAACTTGAACACACACTATTAGCACAACTCTCCAAGGTTAATTTTAAGATGCTGGTTTAGGGTATTTTTAAGGGAAGAGACCATGAAAGCTGGATTGAGCATACTGCCTGGCACATAGTAGGTGTTCAATAAGCATCAGAAATTGAATGACTGAATGAATGAATAGGAGAGAAATATAATGAACAACAAATTAATAAGGTACTTGAATATTTAACGTTACTTACTTTTCAAAACCTTCATGGCTTTTGTTCTGGGCCCCAAGGATGCAAAGATGAGAGAGCCCTGCACACACACAGTCACTAGGTGACCTGTGATCACACGCACATGCTGAAGTGCTTGTGCAAGGAAGACATGGACAGGGCACAGTGATGGAGGTGGCAGACTCTGCCCAGGAGCTGCTGAGGTCTCACCAGGCCCTGGAAGACAGAACAGGACAACAAAGGTATGAAACAGCCTGTTGTGTCAGAGAGCTCAATACTTGGGTATGGCTGGGGCAAATGGAAAGTGTGTGTGTGTGTGTGTAGGAGTGTGGGCGCGTGGGGAGAGTAGGAGCCCTGGTGTGAGAAAACACAGACAAGATAGAGAGCCTTGAATGCCTCCGGTAATCACCAGCTTTGTCACCATAGGTCTTAGAGTGTCTTTTATAAGACCGAACACTGGCAACAGTAGGTTTCACTTATTTAAATCTTCCTGGGAGGCCGAAATTTCATGTATACACTATTGCTTGGTCACTGGGGAGTGTGTGGGTGTCTCCGTGTCTCCTTAGAGCCTCCAAGCTGATGGGAGAGGGGAACCATCTCTGATGCTCATGTGCTTTCCGGTCTGTATTCCTCTCTGCTGTGAGCTACCTCAGCACAAAATCTCCCTGGTCTCTGAGCAGACTGAGCACAACGGAGCTTTACTCTGTATGTATGTACGTATAGATGAATATATGGCTGTATATATGTACGTAAGAATGGATGGATGGATGGACAGACAGATGGATTGGGGGACAGTTGGATGTTCAGAGTCCTACAAAGGCCTTTATGCCCCAAGATTCTCTCCTAAGGGGGCAAAATTCATGTTTACCACCAGTACTTGTTTATCATTAGCCTTGTAGCCTCTCACAGGCACAGAGCCCAGAAGAAACCAATCTGGAATGAAAGGAGACAAGGCTGGAGCCTCCAAAGAACTTAGTGGGGAGCCCGGTCAGAGTTTATCGGAAGTGTAGGCAGCACAGACTCTGAGGCCTACGAGGAAGAAGGGGCTGGAAGGCCCCACAGACCCTCGGGCTCTCTCGTGCCCAGCAGCGCCGGCACAATGGGCCCAGGGCTGGAACATCATGAACGCTTCTGCTCCAGAATGCCTTGGGAGCCAAAAGATTTGAGAAAGCCCAAATCAGAGCAGATAAAAGGCAATTATGTTCCCACGTCCTGGGCTCCTGCCACCCTGAGGCTCCCTGGGGATATACTTGTGCTGTTTGGATATTTCTCTCACAAAGGCCTGGAGAGAGAAAAACAGCCACTCAGCATCTAATAAATTATCCACCATGTTCCTGCTTCTGCTGGCCTCATTCTGACACTTCTCTCCTTCTGACTGTAGATAACAATTACCCTCTAATTGCTTAGATAATCTTGTTCATGGAGCCACAGCAATGACAAAAAGCTCTCGTTTGTTATTGCTTGTTCTGAACGTTGATTCAAGCCAAATCACAACTCGGTTCTACATATGATTCTCTTCTCAAGAGCAGAGCACCTCACTCCACCCCTACTAAGCAAGGTCTTTGGAGACTCGGTGGGTGTCACAGCATGTAATTCTTGCCTCTTTCTTGGCCCAAGGGCTGCACCTGACTTCCAGGAGGTCACTAATCAGCCTTCCCCAAACAAGGCACCAAAGAGGGGTCCTTGTGTATTGGAGGGCCACCAGCCAGCAGTGGGTGGAGAATAAGTCCAGGAAGGCAGTGAGTGGATCCCAGTCCCCACCCCTCTAACAGTGGATATTCCTGGAATTCAGAACCAGCCTTTGACTCTGTGTGCCATTATATCTTTTTCCAGAGCACAGAACTAAACGACAGAGAAATATCACAAATCATTGACTTGAATAGTATTCAATGCTTGATGCTGGATGCTCCATAGTCTTTCAGAAGCTTATTTCCCGCAATATGAGTACAGATTATGCCTTGAAGGCACCACAAATATACAGAATATATGGAAATATGAGGTGGAGGTGCAAATCAGACGTAGCCATGAACATGGATTTTCAGAGCAACAGTCAAAAGGAGAATGCTTGAGAGAAATACCCAAGTACGAATTGAAGGTCAGGAGGTCAGGCTTGGAGATCTAAGTTGCTGGATTAATTACTTGGTTCATTTGTCCAACTCTACTTATTGAGGACCTGTTAAATGACAAGTACCAAATGAGGCACAGAGAGTTTTTAAAAAGAAAAAAACACTGCCCATGGCTTTGAGGAGCTCACACTCTGGTGAGAACTCAAGTATGAAGGTACTACATAAATAATAAGAGTACAACAGTACAGAGAACGTAAGAGGATCAGGAAAGCACTGAGGAAAGATGGATGGACTCAGCCTGAGGAGATGGGACCTCCATTTGAACTGGGACTGGGAGGGCTTGGTGAGCTTCTGAAAGATTTTCTAAGGGCATTTCAGGCCTGGAAGCCGAAAGAACAAGGAGTCATGAAAAGAATGTGAAAATGTTCCAACAATCAAAGAATCTGTGGAGGGAGCCATAGTGAGGGTATGTTGCTGGAAAGAGGCTGGGGCTATCTCTGAGTAACCTGTGATGGATTTGGGCTTTTACTTCAAAGGCTCTAAGTGGGGAGAGGGAATAAAGAGATTCACTCTGGCCAGCGTGGAGGGGAATGGATGGCATGAATAGGAGACAAGTGGGAAAGTGGCATAATTAGTGCAGCAAAGAAGAAACTTCCAGAGACCTATGCGAGATGGAGGCTTTGTCTTTTCAGTGTGTTTGGGGCACTGTTACACAGAGATGTTTTATTTGATTCCCTTAACCTGCTTATTCTGGAAATCTGTCCCCACATTTTTCTTGGGCCTTGAGATCCAGCCTCTGTTTCTGCAATGTCAGGGTGTACACTATTTTTCACCCTTGGTCAGGGAGGAGAGACCCCAGGGTGCACACTCAGGTTAATGGAAGTTTCACATCACAGGTTGGACTCAACTTGAAGTCCCTCATTTATGATCAAAATAATTGTGCTTTCTCTTTTCAAGTTGACAAATTCTCACTTGAAGCTGAAGATATTTGTGTAAGGACACGGATCTCTCCTTACTTTCTCTTATCACGGGTGTTAATAATCCAGGGATCAAGACTCAGCTGGCCTACAAACACTGATTTATTGGACACTTGCTGTTTATCCTTCACATCATTATTACAGGTTGTGTTCAAGAAAGAGTGAATATTGTTCAATGGCCAAAGGAAGGTTCAGACCACGAGGAAGGATCAGGTCAGGTGTTCAGAGCAATAAGCAGCCCCTACCTGGTGCTGAACTCAGCCAATCTAGAGCTAATGGTGAACATCTGTCCCTCTCCGAAGTATTGCCCATTTGCTTGGAGTATCTCTGATGACTCAACAGCCTCAGACTTCATACACACAAACATCTGTTTGGAATAATTGTCATGTTGTTTCCAAATAATTTCTGTGAAAGGTGATAAATGAAAGTGCTCTCCAGGAGGCCTCAAAAAGAGCTCTACTCTGGACCTTGACCTCTCCTTAGTTTCTCCACCAAGGGTGTTAATAATCCACGGGTCAACAATCAGTCGACCCATGGTCAAAGATTTATCGGACACCTGCTCTTTACACATCACACCACTATTCTAGGTTGTGTTCGAGAAAGAGTCTAGACTGAGTCTCAGCAAAAGTCCCTTTTAATTCCTCCCACTACCTGCAATGCTTCTTGCTATCTTAGGACAGCCTAAGTGGCTGTTGTGAAAACTAATCTCTCTTAAAATGCTTGTAAAGCCTGATGCACATCAGTCATCTGCTCCCCACCAATGGACAGAAAAACAAGAGAAGGGCTAGTCACTGAAATGCTTTTCAGATATAAATCTCCAACCATACTGAGGAAGCAGCCTCTCCCTTGGAGATGGTACATTGATTTGCCTAAAAACAAACAAACCTACATTTCTCTGAGCCTGTGTCCCATTCCCCAAAGGTAACATATTCCGGAGAATAAAACAAAATGAAAATATATTGACTCAGGACGTCCTGTATGTGTGAGTCTCTGTTAAGCTCCACATAGGTACTATAGGGTCACAAAAAAACCAAGACTTGGCCTCTGACCTCATAGAGCTTACATTTTACTTGGGGACACACAGAGCTGAATAAATACCTTTACAGGTCCTAACATGAAAAGATATGGTCCCTCCCACCCATATATAGACCAAAATTTTAAAAAACCAAGCATATGTAAGACACAAACTACATGTATGTAAAAATTCTAGATTTTCTGATTGCGAAATTCTGGACAGTTAATTGAATCAAAGCTGAACTTTTCTCATGTTTTTGTGGCCCTGCATTATTGATTCTTAAAGTATGTGCTTCATCTGCCTACTAGAAAACAGATGGGGGCCTGAACTATACACACCACAAGATACAAGACTGATCACTCCGGACAATATTATAAGAAAAAAAGGACATGGGGGTCCCTGTGTCATTCAGAGTTCTCAAGAGAAATAGAACTAGTAGAAGATTATATACATATGCTATCTACAATATATTTATAGTGCACATACACACACACATACACATATATATATACACAAGTGCATAGAGAGACAGAGAATAGGAGATTTTGTATATATATGTATATACACATAATTACATATATGTATGTATATATGTATATATACATATGCATATATAGAGAGAGAGACAGAGACAAAGACAGAGAGAGAAAGATTTATTTCAAAGTATTGGCTTAAGGGAATATGAGGGTAACTGGCAAGTCTGAAATCTGTTAAGTCAGGAGCAGCAAACTGGAAACTCTCAGGCAGGGGCTGATGCTGTGGTCCACAGATGGAATTTTTTCTTCCTCACGAAAACCTCAGTTTTGCTCTAAAGGCCTTTAAACTGATTAGATAAAGTCAGATTATCAAAGATAATCATTACTTAAAATCAATTTAAGTAGCTTTTAATCACATCTACAAAATACCTCTACAGCAACACCTAGATTAGTGTTCAATAAATGACTATAGCCTGGCCAAGTGGACACGTGACATTGACCATGACAGTCCCCTACAAAGGATTTGGCCAAGGCCAGGGTGGATGAGCAGAAGGAAACTTGGCTGTTGAGAGCTGGAAGGGGATTTGGAGATCACCAAGCCCAATCCTTCCACACACAGGCAAAGGGCCTACAGTGCTTGGTTTGTACAAATCTTGAAAACTGATTTTCCCAACCCGGAAGCGTGTTTTATTGAGGAATTCAAGGGGATTGTTACAGATGCCTGGGGTCTAGATTTTTTGTTGATCAAGGCCTGATGGAGCAGAATGTACACAACAGATGTCTAAACAACATTTTTTTTCTAAACAATATTTTTAAATTAGGTCACATGGGTATTAGAACTGGGTCTGAGGCTTAGTTCTACCCTTTGAGGATAGGGTCCAAGACTGTCCGTTCACTGATACCTCCCTAGGGCCTAGCCGAGTTGTGGTATGTAATAGGTGCTCGAAAACATTGGTGGAATTCATGAATTGAATGAATGCATGGAATTTAGGCCAGGTGGGTGTGCAATATCCTGGTTCTATCCATAGGAATGCAGACGCAGAAAGGAAATATTTTAAGCATGAAATATGGTGTTTTCTGAGTTTCCTCATCAGTCCAATGGAAATGGTAGTGTATTACCTATTTAATAGAGCAATTCTAAGGACTATATGGGTAGACAGATACAAATATAACATTTAGCACAGCACTTGGTATATAGTAGGTGCTCAGTAAATGGTAGTGATTACTATAATCAACATTATTTCACACTATCCAATTCCAATAGATGCTGTTGGTGCCATACCCAGACTACTTTTACCAGACACTGCACCCATCCCCCAGCTCTGGGAATTGAGTGCTAACAGCTCACAGCTGCCCCCTTCTCCAGAGAATTGCCCTCCACTGAAACAAAAGCTGTGTTCACCAGGCAGTTACGGCTCCCTTCTCCCAAGGGACAGCTCACAGTCAATGACTGATTCATAGGAGAAAAAGAGTTAGCCCTAAGATGGCACCAATCCTAAAACTCATGGTAATCAAACTGCAGCTAGTGCCGAGCTGGGCTCACATGTTGGCATTTCCCCTGCCTTTTTTCTGCTCCTCTCACTCCCTTTCTCCTGAGAGCATGTCCTCAATAAATCGCTTAGACAAGACTCCTCGTCTCCAGCTCTGCTTCTAGGGTATCCAACTTAAGACATGGTTACTTGGAGACAGCTCCCCTTCCTTGTCTATGCAATAATGAGCCATTTTGCTCATTGTGGTTCTGCTATTCAGATCCTTGGGTAAGTCATATGATGCTCCTAGCCAGAAGAGTAAAATGGCTTTGCCTCTCCAGCTGGCTCATCCACATCACACCTATCCAGTCAGAGAGGCTGAGTGCTCTTTATCTTACATTTTGCCTAATTCTTCCTGGCCAAGTCTATTCAATTAGCTTGGCTTGCTCTTTAAATCAAATAATCACACTTTTGACCACCAAACTCGAATTTCAGGGAAAACATTCATTCATCTGTCCATCCATCCATCCATCCAACCATTGAATAGTTACGGAGTGTTGTCCAAGTAGCCAGGTATTGTGCTAGGCACATGGCTATAACATAGATAAGACAGAGTACTTGCCCTCCAGGAACTCATTCTGGAGGGAGAAATGGACAAGCAAATAGGCAATTGTAAATGAAGTTTATGATCCGTGCTCTAATATGATGCTAAGAGAACACAGAGAAGCTCCTATATCAGGCTGGAGGTTTAAAACGCTTGGTTTTTTATTGTGGTTGACCTACACACAAATAAATAGAATGGAAATCTCCTAGAACACTGCAAACCAGAGTAGTTACTTCAAAGAATAAGGTGTTACAACATAGAAAGAAGTGTAGTTTTAAGCACAAAGAATGGTTGCCTAGTGATGGGCAGAATAACAAGATATAAATGCAAAGGACTCTGCCTGCTGTGTTATTACTGCTGTAGCTTTGCTCCCACTCAAATGCTCACTTCCTCCAAAGAAAGGGAAGCCAAATTACGGTTTCTGCCTGGGGACTGGCTAGATCCGTGGTAATCAAAACCAAGTTCTCCCACTGGCTTTCCACCACCGTCATGGCTGATGGCCCACAGGCACAGTCAGGATGCAGGGGTCTCACTGCACAATTGCCTTATTTTGCTTATTCCTCCCCTGCTGTTCATCAACCTACTCCTGCAAGACATGCAGAGGTGATAGCATGACTATGAGGTTAGGAATGGTAATTGTTCTGTGTTGATATTAGTGTGGCTGGTGCTAATGTGAAAATAATTACTACTCTGTGCCTTTATGGCCATTTTCATTGCCCTCTGGTGGTTATGCACTTATTTGGCTATAGATGGTAATGATATAATGCATGGTGGCTATTATTGCTTTAGCTATACAACTGGGGAGGGAGGGGTCAGAGAGGAGGAGGTGTTTGGGAAGGGCTGGGACTTAATAAATCATTTATTTATTTTCTTGAGAATTTTTTTTTTTTTTTTGTCTTTGCAGAGAGTCCTCTTTGGCTGTAAGAATATAAAGTCCTAAGAATACCAGTGATTTGGTGATCAAGAACCCCAAGAACTTATGCACAAGTCAGCGCTTTTGGTGATTATGGGCTGAAGTCTGAAAGATAAGAAGTGATCTTTATCTGAAAAATAAGAAGTGAGAGCACTGATTGTAAGCCTTGCAGTTGGTCTAGATTCCTCTGTCTCATGTATTCTCCTGTGTAGTCTCCTTATTGGCTACAGAATAAAATAATGAACTTTCTGAGATGCTTCAAGATCTAATTTCTGCCCACCTTTATAACTTCACCTCCTTTCCCATTCCCTTGTCATTCCCAATAGCCTGTGTATGACTCATTGTTCTTCCCCAGGTCCATCATGCCTTCTCCTCACATGCTGCTCTTACTCCCTGGAATGCCCTCATCCTTCAGAGGCTAGTTCATCTGAGAGCCACCCCTGACTCTGCCAGGCAAACATGATCACATCTTTCCTGTGCACTGGGTGTTCTTCCTAACCACACTGTATTGTAATGGTGTATTGGTTCACCTGTTTCCCCATAAGGCCGTGAACTTCTAGAGGTTCATGAGGTTCTTCTCTTTAATTTCCAGTACCTGGTAAAGTGTCAGGCACATAGCGATTATTTAATATGTGCTGCAATAAAGGAATAAAGTGGGTTTCCTCCTCATGGGCTAAATGATTAAAAATGGATTAAATGGATTAAAATGATAAATCAATTATACTTTATAAGGATCATACGAGATGTTTTTATCAACATATAGTTACAGTTACATAATCACATGTTAGAAGGCCACTTTCCCCTTCTTCATGGACCTCACATATGCTGTTCCCTCTGCTTAGGACACTCTTACTTTCTCTTCATGTAATTCCAGCGTAAATGTGTATCCCTTAAAGAAACTCTGATTGAGCACCTTTCCAATCGTTATCACACTAGTCTGCGTCCCGTTATAAATCCCCATGGCATCTATATGTTGTTTTCCATTTTATTTATACAAATTATAATTAGAAAATGTTTAATTATTTTTTTAGTAATTGTCTTATCTACAAAACATTAAGCTCCTTGAATGCAGGGGCTATATTTGTTCTATTCACCACTGTGTTCCCAGGCCTGGTATACTGCCTTGCCTACAGAGAGTACACAATAAATATTCCAAATAAGGAACTGAAAAAAGTCCCTAAAGTAAGACATACTTCTGTTATCTACTTATATGCACACATTAAAAGATTACATAACTATATCTCTTTTCAGAGATAAGCTGAAGTATACGTTTTCTTACATAACATTTCAAGGAACACACTGAAATTTCATCAATTTGGACTAAGGGGAGAAGAAAGGTTCTTTTAAATATGTGGTAAATTTCAACTTCGGACTTATTCCAGATCAGTTTAATTCAACATCTACTGAGCACCTACTTTGTGCCAGGCACTGTCCTAGACTCAACACAGGGTCTATGAACATGAATATGACATGGCACTTGACTTTGAGATGCTTAAAGCCCTTTTATTCTGTCTCTAGCACAGTGACTGAGCCATAGGAGATGCTCAATGATTCTTGTTGTTGTTATAATGAATGAGTAAATGAATAAAACTAGTGTTTTTAATTAGAGATCCTGCAAGACTATTTTTAATGGATTGTTTACAATTAGGAACACTCACTCTAGAGAGATCTAGACCCTCAAAGTTCCTCCGTCTTTTTCCTTCAATCAACTAAGTTAAAGTTCCCCTCATATATTCGAGATTCTGTAAGATTTAGCCATATGAAGTTACCATTTTTGTGCATCAAAAAATGACTATCAGCACTTCACATGTGTCAATCTAATACTTAGAAAATCCACTTGCTAAGGATGGTGCCAAGGTGACCATCAAAGTGTCTATATTTAAATGTTCCAGATTCCAAATGAAAGAACTGTTTTCCTTATCTTGGCCTGGGTCCTCCTGGCTTATATCTTCAAAACTATTCAGAAGGGTCTGCTAAACCCACTGCTTCTTACATTCTCCCTAAGATCATAAATGCTGAGAGTGCTATGCAGAAATAATATGTTTTAGGATCACTTACGAAAGTTTAGCATTTTATAGGCAATTAATAAAAGCCCAGCACAAAGTAAATGTACACAAAAAGTAAATGTACAAAAGTACATTCTTTGAATGAGAACTAAGCAGCACAGCAGGTATTATTCACATCATAAAGAAATCACCAGTTGGCAGGGATGTAGGAGCTTGTGGGATGGTGGTTGGTGAAGTCCCTTCATTTCTGGAATAAGAGTCACCTGTTTGGCTATTTTCCCTGAGTCTTTAACTCCACTGCCCTGCTCCTGTCCCATGGGGCCAACACCCACAGGCCTGAGCTGTCCTCTGAACTGCCTAATCCACAGCCTCTAAGACTTTATTGCTCATGCCACCCTTACTCCATTTTCCAAGCAAATGGTGTCACTAGCTCCCAGCGTCTTGCCTCATCTCCTGTCTATGGGGTAATTACACTGTTAAAAATCTCACAACCATATTTCTTTACCAGGATTGCCCTAGATTTCCCTCCTTAAGAGAGACTGCATTTTCTCTGGTCACTCAGAATATCATCTCAGGATGTTGACAGAGCACTAGAGATCCAACCCCCAGCACTACCCCTATTTGTCTGATGTTGTCTATGTACCTCTCTGCTATTTCCCAGCCCCAGAGATGGGTGGTTTTTGTCCCCACAAGAAGACCTGGACAGAAATGGGGATGGGAACACAGGATCCTCTAAGTCAGGTTCAAAGATCATCTAATATCATCGTCAAAACTTAGCCTCCATTCAGCTCCCTCTTCACACTTCCTATTTCCCAGGCTTACTGGAAAGGTGGAGGAGAAGCCAGATGAGAGGGGTGAAGCCCAAGACCTTGGGTATTTTTATTAGGCAAGAGTCAAGACTGGCCTGGACAAACAGAAGGGTATTGTGTAGTTCAAGGCCACCACAGCTATAGAAGCCACTGTCACTTTAGCAAGAACTCTGACCTGGTTTCCAGGGAGAACTGTTTGTTGCTTTTCCCTATAGGTATTGTCCTTTTTTTGTCCTCCAGAGAAATAAATCCCTGCTCCCATTGCACAGTATTTAATCTTCAGTTTGAGTCCTTGGTCTCCTCTCAGCTAACAGGTCCCACCTCCCTCTCAATCTTTCTTTTTCCTTGTTCTGTGACACTTGCTGAATGAGGCACACAGAGTTTGCAGTCACTGCAGTACACCTTGTGATTGTGAGGTAATTGGATAATATTATCACCTCAGAAAGTCTTCAAAATTATCATGAGGAAGTGAGGCATTCTTCTCCTGGCAGGTTATCTGTGTGGTTAGATAAGATGACTGCTACATTCCATTCCAACCATGTCATTCAGCCATTCTTCCATAGTGGGCACTTCCATGAAGACACTGAGGGATGTGACAGTCCAAAGCGCTCACCTAAAACAGAATTCCAAACATAGAGTCTATACTTGGGTTTCTAATCATCAGTCCATATGTAGTCTGTCCACCATTAAGGGCTAGGTTTCCTCTCTCTTTTGTTTTTCTTCCTCCTGCCCTTCAGGAGTTTTAAGAAAGTCCGAGGCATCTTGTAGATGGTGACAAAAGTATTCATTATCAAAGAGGGTTCTTGTCACAAACCCATTTTGTCATACACAGTGTAAGGCACAAATATTAATATGCATGGCTTTATGAGCTAGATTGTTTGGGTATAAACCTCAGCTCTGCCAATTTTTAGCTTTTTAAACATGAATATGTTATTTAACCTCTCTATGCCTCGGTTTTTCATCTACAAAGTGAGAATTTTAATAGGATATAACTCGCAGGTCACTGTGAAGACTAAACATACAGCACTTAGAACAATGCCTGGCAAAAGCTGACAAAAAAAAATTCCAGTATTGATAACAGTAGTAAAAATAGTATTTGCCTCAGAGTTTTCCGGCGGTGTTTCTCGTGAGAACTCACTGAACCCCTTGAATATTACCCTGAACCCTCTGAGCTCTCTGGAACCCGAGACTGGTTTAGTTGAAAGTGTCCCATACTGGAAGTCAGAAGACCTGGGACCTTTTGAGGCTACACACAGACTATTCACGAACAACCTACCACGGGCCAGTCCTTGCGCTAGATTCTTCTTCTGTTATTTTATGTATTCTTCACACCGGTTTCACAAGGTGGCTATAATTTCCCCCATTTCACAGATGAGGAAGTAAGCTCACAACAGTTTAACCACTGAGCCAATGTTACCAAGCCAAAAACACGGTTCTGTCAGGAACCATTATTAAAATCCCAGCACGCGGTTCTTAGGGAGAGTCACTCAACCTGTGACCCGTAACTTCTCCTGCCTGTAAAGCTGTCATCACCCTGCCGTGTCCATCTCACGGGGTGAGAATCCCAAGAGAAAGCGTTTATGCAAGTCGGCTGTAGGCCGTGAAACGTCAGCAGGAATCGGAACCAGGACTGTAAGCACAAGGAAGCGCCCAGAAGAGTCAGCAGGAGACGCCAACGCCGGGGGAGACGCCGGATCCCCCCTCCCGGCCGGACCCTGAGGGCGGGCGCTCGATTGAGTGGCAGGAGCACAGGCCAATAGGGCTGCGGGAGGCGGTGGGGCGGGGCTGCCCCCGGGGCGCTCGGACTTGTGGGAGGGCAAGCGGGCCCGGGGCTCGTTGCGGTCTTTAGCCCCGCGGAGCGTTTGTTGGGCGCCGGTCTGTGGGGTTTTATCAAATACCCAGGCGGTCGCAGCCCGCGCTGAGAGGCCTGGCCTCAGTGTGAGGAGACTGACGAAATCTCGTTAGCGAGGACAGCAGGTTGCTGGCGAAGTCACGACGTGGTGCAAGTGGTCTCAGCTGGCTCTCGGGCTCTGGAATTCGGGTGTCTGGGCAATTGGTGGTTGTGATCAAGACCCAGGGGACCCCGGCCTTCTGCTTCCTCTGTCATTCCTGAATGTTCCAGGCCCTACTGGGAACTAGGGAAGGCTGGGGAAGGAGCGGGGATGATTTTCCTACCGGAAACACATTTGCAGTCATCGTAGAAGAAGAAATCCGGAACGGCAGGATCTTGGCTCTCACGTTTTGATATGATCCAGCCCCTTTGCTTCTTACAGCTGCCACCACCATTCTCTCGCATGCTTTTTATCGCCATAATTCTGACTGGATTTCCTGCTCCAAGATTTGCCTGTTACTGTCAGTCCCACCGGGGTCCACAATGATTGGTGTTAAATGGTCAGGATATTCCCCTGCATAAAACCCATCTGTGATTTCCCATTGCCCTCAGGATAAAGGCCTGATGTTGAACGTGGCTTTCAGGGCAATAGAGGTTCTGGCCTCCTGCCCCAGCCCCATCTCCAGATACTTTTCATTCCCTTTCCCCAGTTAAGCGTGTGTGAGATAAATAAATGAATGAGTTATTTCTTGAACTATCAGCAAGATTGTCAGAAGAGAAGTCCTCCATAATTTGAAAACTCATTGTGTTCGGTAATCACCTGAGTTGGAGAAGTCAACTCTGCCCTGGCATCCAAGAAGCCTCAAATCTAGTGCTTGCTTATCTGCTCATTTTATTGTGTAATCTGCCACATATTTCTTCCAGTCTCTGTTACTTTATTTATAAAATCGAGCCAGTGAAGTAATGTTTCCTATTATTTTTACTTTTTCAAGGTATTTCAAAGATAAATCTAACAGTACATGGAAAAGGATTATAAATTCAGAGTATTGTTAATATATGTCCATTATACCCAGGTACGTTCCATTAATTACCTTTAAATCTTTTTCTGGGTCATGTAGAATCTCTACTTTATATACATTGTGTAATACCTGAGGTTTATTTTTATATCAGGCATGGATTTAAAGCACCCCACAGGTACCTTTTCCTATGGCTGGATCTGAGGAGCGGGCCTGACTTGTAAGCCTTGTCCACTTGTGCTCACTAGTTATTGTACTTAACAGAGGGACCTAGCGAGAAAGTAAGATAGAAGATGCCAGCTAAGGAGTCCTGCCTGGATAAAGAAAAGATGGCTCTGTCTTAAGGAAACCTTGAAAACTAATTCCTTTTGTGCCACATATAATGATTGCCCTCAGAGGAATTGGAATAGCATGTAAAATACTAGAATGTGGGATCATGGGCTGTTGTAGATCCCTGCTCATTCTATGTTCTTAATCACCTCATTGTCTCTGCCTTCAGTGCCCTTTCCCAGCCTGGGGTTCATCTCTCCTTTTCTTCCCCCAGCCTCCTAACATATATCTTTCACTTAGCTAACTCTCAGAAGGTATAATAAATATTGAATGAATCAATGAAGAAACGAAAGGGTGATGGATGGAGGGAGGGGGGGATGCATGGATGGACACCAGTGGACACGAAGCCAGAAGATCTGGGTTCTTATATGGATTAACCAATAACTTTATGAAGTAAGTAGAGAGCAATTATGGGTCGTATTTTACAAGTGATGAAACTAAGCTTCAGAAAGTTACATGACTTGGCAGGGTACACACTGTTCAAAAGTGACAGAACTGACCTTAATTTTTACATTTTTCTTCCCACAACATCATAATTCTTGAAGGTAAGAAAGACTTAAGTTCCACATTTCAGGCTGAGAACAAGCTGAGAAAAGAACACTAATATGCCTGTCTCCTTCACCTCCTCCTCCCCTAAGCAAGTGATTTCAGAGGCAAGCCAGTACTTACAGTCTAATTTTAAAGACAGGTCTGGAAAGTAACACCTGTTGGGAACATGGTAAAGAAGAACTAGACATAATGAGATTTCAGCCCATTTTTGCACCGACTTCTAATGGAAGATTGAGTACAGTTCTTTGCTTATGAAAGGAACCTGTTTCCATGGCAGAGGAGGAACTGGGGGAAGAAAGAGAGAAAAAAAATGGTAAAAGCATATTTTCTCAGAATCATTTCTCCAGATACACTGAACAGTTCAAAGGGTAAAGGCAGTTCAGTGACGAGGAGTATGGCAGTAGGTGAGCTCTGAGAAATAGAACAACTCTTTAGGTCTCATCCAAGAGACAAGATAAATGAGAAACTTGGGCTTGAAAATGTTTCATTGAGCTCATGAACCTGCCCTATTTCATTTACTGTGGCTCAAATCTCTTCATTTAGACCCTGAAACTAGACTTCCTGCATTTTAAACCCTGGCTCCACCACTAAACTAGCTCTGTAGTCATGGGCATGATTCTTTCTGTCTATTCCCATCTATAAAGTGGGTATGATAATAATGAACACCTTCCTTGCAGGTTGTTGTGAGAATTAATGAATTTGTTTATACTAATACCCTTTGATCAATGTCTGGCATATTGTAAATGCTATTGTCACTAACATCATTACAGCTGCTTCTCGATAATTGAAGTGGGGCATACACTTTAAGACTTTATTTTCAATTGCATCAAAAATGGAGGAAAAATTAACAAGATCACCTGGAGCACTTTTACACATCTGGCCTTCCTCTCCATCTCCTATCTCCAACCTTCTGGAAATTCAAACTCAAGAGGTCTATGGTAAGACGTACGGATCCATATTTTGAAAGAGCATATCTAAAATGCTTTCTTTCATCTTACACCTCAACCTAACACTCCACTGGAACCCCACTTTAAGGGATTTCTCTGGAAGATAAAAGATATTTTTACTGCGCGAGGATTACTCAGGTAATATAAACATGGGCAGGGCATGTACATATTAGTAAGTCCATCTCCCTAGCTAGATTAAAACCAACCTAAGTTAGGATTTAAACTTCTTCTGCAATAGGATAAACTGATGAGCCTGCCTCAAACTCACAGATGATATTGTCATGATGATACTCTTACTTGAGAAACTAAGCCCTGGTGATGTAAAGTTTGGTCATATAGTATTGTGTGCATTAGGCTGCAACCAATTTTTTTTTTACTTATTGATCTATTTGGACATCCTTCCAGGTTCATGTATATGGATCTTATTCCTTTTAATAACTGCATAATATTCCATAGTATATAATTTCCGTGTTTTCTTTAGCCTTTCTCTATTGCAGGAAATGTGGATTGTCTGCTACCAGATCTTAACCACCAAATATTATGTTGCAATAAACACCATCCTTACATACTTGGGCATTTTTTCTTTCTTCTTAGAACAGAATCAGAAAATGTAATTGTTGGATCACAAAGTATGTACATTGTTAATTTTATTTTATTTTAAAGATTTTATTTATTTGAGAGAGAGCATGCACACACACACACAAGCGGGGGCAGGGGCAGAGGGAGAAGGAGACTCCCCGCTGATCCGGGAGCCCGAAGTGGGGCTCAATCCCAGGACCCCGAGATCATGACCTGAGCTGAAGGCAGATGCTTAACCGACTGAGCCACCCAGGCTCCCCTACATGATTAATTTTAGATGATATCACCAAAATGGTTGAAACACTTCACCACTGCCCCTCCCATGAGCTTTTCCTGAGCATATTATGTGTACTGTGGGAAGGGGCAGGCTGACCTGGAATATCTTCAAATGAATGCAGTTGTGAGTATAACAAGGCTATGATTCATGGTTTGTGAGGTACTTTGGATTTTATGGATCTGCTAAAGCCTTATCAGATCACATGCCACCTTCCCTTTTCTGACCATAGCTGAGTCTGGTGTGGCTGAATTTACCTCCCACCATGACATAGCCACAAGCATTGATCTGCCTTCCATCCGTGTTCTTAGATTTATGTGATATCTGCTTGAGGGAGAGAGGGGGTGGGTGGGAGTAGATGCAAAAAAAAGAAGAGTGCAGAGGCAGATAAAAGGAATTGTGGGAGCAGAAAATCAGGCTCAACTCAGAGACCACAGGAGAGAGGTCAGATGACAGGATAGAATCTATTTCCTTATTTTCATGCTCTCTTAGCTCAGAAACATTTTCAGCTTAATAGCTGCTGACATTGATAACACCCTCCTGTAATCTACCGCAAATCCAACGGACTCTGTTGTCACACTTCATCAGCTGTGTTATAATTCCCAATAACTGGCACACAATTGATGTGCTATCCCTGGAAACCTGGCCCCAAAATAAATGGCTTCAGAGGGTTTAATGATAAATCAGAGGCATTCTGAATGGATTCTGAAAGTATTCTAAGTCAGTACAAATCCTCCCTGGGATCCAATTTGGCTGGTTCATTACCAGTTCTATCTCCTGCATGCAAAAAGATGATAAACAACATTGTAAAGATGTAGATGAGATTGGCTTTTGTGACCTAATGTTTCTGAAGAAGAGAGAAGCACAAGTTATTAAAATGAGAAAAACGCACACAGCCCACTGGCAACAGATTATTATAAGCTTCATTTTGAACAGGAATCATTTGTGATTTTATTACCTTGGAGACAAAGGCCTGGTTGCTTTTGCATTTTATAGTGGCTTAATTAACCTTTGTGCACAGAGGTCTGGTACACCTACTCCACGAACTAAAAGCCACTTTAAAAAATTGGAAGCCACCCGCTATTTCTGATAGACTCAGACAGAGATTCTGCAGGGGTATATAGTGGTGAAAGCAGAAGTTTCCAGGACCGGGCTCCAGGGGATGAGT